TGTGTATTTGCCGAGAGCNACTCGGCTGTTCGTTGGTGGTACGGCGGGGCCGTACTGGTGAGAAAGTAGGGCAAGTCGCGGAGAGCGCGACGGAAAGTGCAATTTCGCGAGTTGATATAGTCAGTACTGACAGGTTTCCACTGCGTCGTCTGCCCATTACACCGCCCCGCGGCAGATAGCACAGTCGGTAACCAGGCTCGCCTCCTCCCACGGAAGCAAGCACACTCTTCTGCTCGCAGGTACCCAAGCTCGACTCACGTCTATAAGCGGTAAGGCAACTACTCATGAAAACGAAAACAAACCTCGCTTCGCTCAACTCGCTCTCGTACGAAGTGGTGAGCGACATCTATGTGCTTAGTTCGCACCGAAGAACCAGGATTCTCGATAAGAGAAATAGCAGCCTTATTATCGCACGCTATGCTGACGCAGTTAGCGTCAACCCCCAACTCCAGGAACAATTGCCTCAACCACAAAGCTTCTCGCGTAGCAGCCGCAGCAGCCATGTATTCAGCTTCAGCAGTCGAAACTGCCACAGTAGGCTGGACACGACTGGACCAACTAACAGCCGCGTTCGAATGCAAAAACACAAAGCCAGTGGTCGACCTCCGGGTATCAGGGCAACCAGCATAATCGGCGTCGGCAAAACCCTGCAGGCCACCGTTCCCTTCGAACACTAAACCAAAATCGCGCGTACCAGCAAGATACCGCAAAACACCCTTAGCCGTCAAAAGGTGGTCATTGGTAGGTTTCGACATATGACGTGCGAGCGCTCCCACGGCCTGAGAAATGTCCGGCCTAGTACAGGACGAAAGATACATAAGTCCGCCCACTAGCTCGCGATACTCGTTACCCACAGACTCATCCCCCTCTTCAGCAACACGAAGCTGAACTCCAGGCGAAAGCGGTGTAGCGCGACCGTTGGCATCAACAAAACCAAACTTCGACAACAGGCCTTCAGTGTACTTCCGCTGTGACAACTTCAGCCACTTTTCGTTCACGCTTCTTTTGATCTCCATACCAACGAAACGATCGACAGGCCCTAGGTCTCTCGTCTCGAAAACCTCCATCAACCGTCTTTTAACCTCGTTAACCAATTCTTGGCATTTAGCAGCCGTGAGGGAGTCATCCACGTTGATCAAGAAATAAACACGATCATCCCCCTCGCCACGGACAAACATAGCAGGATCGGCAGCAGTAGGCTTGAAGCCCATCTTCCTCAACTCCTCCTTGAGCTTAACATACCACGCTCGCGGAGACTGCCGC